CGTTCACACGCGCTCCGTGTTCGAGGAGAACCTTGACGATTTTGTAGCGTGTGCGTTGCATCTTGTCTGAAAGAAAAATCGCTTTCGTGAGAGCTGTCTGTTTGTTATCGTCTGTCTTGTTCACATCCTCGGTTCCCGTTTCGAGTAGGAACTTGACTTGGTAAATTCTACCCCTTTTTACGGCGTCTAGTAACATGGCGAAATCACTTCTTCTCCGGCAGTTTCTTACTACTATAGAAACCGTTAGCAAAACAACTTAATACAACAAATATTGATCATATTCATTTTAGCAGTAGGGCTAATCTCGCTTAGTGCCCCTCTGAGGATTACATCTATTGTAATAAATCTTAATAAGATTCAATAAGAAATCACTTACGTAGTAAGGTAACAAAAGCGACGCTTTTAAAGCAGGTGCACTATAGTCAAACCGTTCGATACAATTCAAAGTCGTTTCGATACGAACTTAAGCAGTGAAACTGCACAGCAATATCGTTAAAAGAAATTAACTAAGTATAGTTTGCGCGTGAATAAGAAAAACGTTTGGGGTGAATATTCTTCGTTCTTTAAGTCAAGTACGTGGAACTATCTACACTAGACTGAATAAACTTATATCGAAACGACTAGTATCGAAACGATCGAAAACCCACTCCAGGCTTCTAAAGACCAATTAGCAAGCGGTAACCGAGTTTCTCTTAGAACCATTACGCTAAGGTACTTTCTATTGTTCGAGAACAAAAGCTTTCTGTTATCCAAGCTTTAATATAGGGGTAACACGCATATGTATTGAAACAATGAAAGGAATAAATTTTAAGGCAGTGAAGGATAACGAGATTAGAAATATCAACAAATACTGTTAGCACACTGAAAGTAAACAACTTTCTTTTGAAAGTTGCTGCTTAACAGCTGACGTAGAGGTCTCTGGGTCTTAAATTCACTGACCGACGCACGCTATATACGTAAAACAAATTACAAACACTTTCCAATTAATTCTATGAATATTGCTCTTCTGTTGTGCTACCACTGCCATTACAATGAGCTTTGAACTTGCGGTCATTTGCGTTCCGGATTTTCGACCGACTGAAAAAAATGGTAATGTAGGTTTCTGGGAAACTGCCCACCTACCCCTCCCCTAACCCAACATTTTGCCCTAAGTTAGAAGTAAGTGTTAATGTTGACTTAAGGGAGGGGTAGGTGGGCAGTTTCCCAGAGACCTAAATTGATCCGAAAAAATTTGGCCCGATACTTCGTTCACACGGGATTGTTCAATGTTTCTGCTCAGTTCACACGGGAAGTGAATGGCTAGGCGTCTAAATTTTTGTGCGCACGAATTTTTTTATTGTACACAAATTTGAAACAGGTTTGCAAGCCTCCATCCTTTATCTTTCAACTTAGGCCCATAGCCAGAATTTTTCGTGGAGGGGTGCGAATGTCTTAGAGGCTGAAGCCGCTGGTTGCTATTGGTTGCTATACGGGTCGACTAAAGGGAGAGGTGCGTGCGCAATGGTCGCGCCCAACCCCCTCGTCTCTGCGGTCATGGACTCTACGGCAATTGGGACATGCGATGTAGGTCTAACTGTCTAATCTATGAACTGTGCATTGTAAATCATTTCACTTGACAATTGAAGGAAATATCAAGAAAAACGTGCTCTTACAAAAGAATGTCTTAAATCATAACACACTTGTGTTTTGACAGGCCTGTTGTTCTATAGCAGAAAAAGCCTTCTAGAACACTGGTTGAACCAGGAACCCAAATTGAACGCAGTTGTCATTCAGTTGATTTTGTCAGGAAGAGTCATGGGACAGATCGAACGAAAAATAGCTTCCCGTGAGCTATATAGCGTCCCTTTTTCTTAGACCGCGAGTAGTCCCTCATTTTCCCTCAGGGATAGTAGATCGAACGAAACGCAAGCGCGCATGAAAATCACCCCATGCGTGAAAGGCGAGCCTTTTCTCTCTCCCTGCCGCGTCTCGCTTTTCTCGCGTGGGGTGATTTTCACGCGCGCTCGCGTTTCGCTCGATCTACTATCCCTGAGGGAAAACGATGGACTACTCGTAGTCTATCTTTTCTCGTCACGAAACAAGTCTCCGTTCTATCACGCTCCGTGAACGGACCAAACAAAGTTTCTCCCGTTAATGGACCACGAAATTTTGTCAGCAATGTACATCTTTGTTCTGTTGTTGTGCGCATACCTCAGACTCGATTGTGTGAACGTGCCATAAATACTTAGATGATTTCCGCATATTCTTTGTGCTCTAGATGAAACATGCTTCAATGTGTTAAGTGAAAACAACTTAGTTCCTGTCTTTTAACAGTAATTCACAGTAGACTAATAGATATTTTGGCTTAGTTTACCCATCTCAAGTGCGCAAAAATGTTCTAAACGTGACGGTGATTGTATAAACATTTGCTTTTTGTCCAATAGCTGAATGCAGCATGGGTCGTTGAAGCTTGACCCGACAATATGTAATTAAACCCCATATCAACCATTGGCGTTCTTTTCAAAACAAAGGAGTGAAAAACAATAGGAAAGTATTTTAAGAAGTGAATATTTAATAAAAGAAAAGTGAACGAGTAATTACAGCGCTATGAGACAGTTCGAAACAATAAACAAATATCACCCGGTGAGTTGTTCTCGGAATCATCGATACTTATCGTTGAAGATAAAATAAGTGTAAATATTTTGACGAATAATCGTATTGCCGCTGCGCGTGAAAAGAAAGGAGACTTATGCTAGCTTCTTCGTTGACCGTCGGTCACCAAAGGCAACGGGCGCTGCCAGATCTTCATCAAAAAGTAGCTTGGAATGATACTAAGAGCAAAGAGAAAGGACGTTCTGTCGGAAGACCGAGGATACTTTTAGAAGCAGTCACCCAAGGCAGACTTCGGCAGGTGCGCCTTTTACTAGACGCAGGTGTCAACGTAAACTGCAAAGATTTGGACGATGGGCAGACAGCTTTGATCAGAGCCATGTTTTTGGACAACACGAAACTTCGGCGAAGGACTGCCAAGATGTTGTTGAGTTACGGTGCGAAAGTGAAGCTGCTGGACAAGTTCGGACGGACCGCTCTGTCATGGGCTTGTATATTTGGACATGAGGATATGGTCAAGCTTTTTTTCAGCCATCCTGAAGTCGATCTTGCCTTGGGTAGCGTCGATATGGATGGTAACACTAACTTGATGTTAGCGTGCATGTCCGGTAATGTAAACATTGTTAAAACGATCTCGAAGGTCTTCAGGAGAAACAGATTGGACGTGAACAGAGTGAACAACAGAGGAAAGAGTGCGTTGGCCATAGCGCATGAGAGAGAGTTTGCGGATTGTGTAGAAGTCTTGTTAAATGTGGGGCACGTAACTTCTCGCGCCTTGGAAACGTACTTTCTGCGTGACGCCTATAGCGCTGGAATAGGACAAAAGAAGAACCAGCCACACGCAGGACTAAAGCAGACTTCTTGCAATCTACCTAAACTATTTGGCCTGTACACAGAACAGCTTACAAATTCGTATCCAAGAAAGTACAGGTCTGAGAGAGGAGTTAATTCTTCCGCATTTTAACTTGTTTCTGTCTGCCGAAATGACAGACAACAAATAACTCCGATTTAAAGTTATTTCGATTGAGCTTCAGTTTGCTAAAATTAAAAAGCAAACAAACCACTTTAGTTTAAATTGCTTATATTCTACAGTACAGTAAAAACCCGCGACTAAGAACCTGCATTTTTCCAAGTTAGCCCAAACAGGTTCTTACATAAACAGTAACTAGCACAAATTTAGGCTATGAACTAACTCAGTTGGAGTGAGAAGACACTTTAGTATATCTCCAAAGAGGATTCTGAATGTTGACTTATCTTATTGCTAAAGTGTGCAGAAAATTTTTATAGATTTCACAAAATAAGAATCTGTTTCAAATTTTAGACCAAGCAGGTTCCTGTATAGAGGGGACCTAACAAGCAAATTTAGCCGAACAGGTTCTAAAAAACCAAGTTCTTAGTCGCAGATCCTTGAAGTTAATGCTGTACCGTACACAGATATAGACATGATTACAAGCCGTTCGTGCGTTTTTAAACAGAACGCGTCCAGGATTGATTAATAAAAGTATGTTCTAGTAGTTTTAGTCATGGTCTCAGAAAAGTATGACATTAAAATTATTCGCAGTTTGCAGTAACTAGAAACTCAGTAACGGTTGATTAATGAGGTATAAATGATAAATACATTTTTAAAAGTTGGAATATGCGGTCGATTCATTAGTATTAATTAAGGTTGATTTTCAATGACGCGTTTTTGACTACGCACGTTAACGCACATAAATTTTAATCACGTAAATGAAATAGAAGAAAAAACTGAAGTGCTGAGCTTAAACGAGAAGTGGAGCGCGCGAGGTTCAACTTTTACGCTTACGAGCGACCTTTCATGCATTGCCTTTATTTTATTTGCCAACGTATTTGCGCACGTACGCACAAATTACGCTTACGCAACAGTGGAAATCAACCCTTAGGGCCTGTTTACATGGAGGTGGGGGACCGCTTAGGTGGGGTAACCCGCCTGTCCATATACTCTCACATATGGTCACCCCACCTACCCTGTAAACGTGATCAAATTAATGTGAGAGATTATGTGGGCCGGAGGGTTACCCCACTTAAGCGGGTTACCTCGCCAACCTGGGTACCCCACCTCCATGTAAACAGGCTCTTGAACAGCCAACATTCCCTAAAGAGGCAAGAACTTAACGGGAAGAACGCGGTCCAAGTAATTGCTGTGCTTTTTGGCGTAAAAATTATTTTCTACCATCATGTCGTCATTGGTGGCTAAGGAAGCGAGCCATAGACCGTTTTTACGCTGCAGAGTTTAGAGCATCACTAGCGTTTAACTCGGAAAGCTTATCACTGTGATCCTTATAAAAAAAAGGACGGTCCAGGAGGGAAACATGAAGTTGAACCAAGAAATAAGATGGTGGTGAGGCGGAAAAAAGGCTACTGTTTTATTTACTATTGATTTGCATTACAGTAGTGCCTTGACATACACTGAAAAATCACCTCACGTTCTAGAAATCCACTGGTCGTATCTTCATCTCAGCTCTTTTAGCCGAGTAGCTGCCACCTTTCCACGCGCGCCAGTTAATACCATCATGATACGTTGAGTGCTTTCCGTGATAGTAGAAGCCATTAAGACTCGCGGTCACACAGTTGTTAAACCACCATCCTCCTTTGTAGCTCACGGCACAGTTGCCTGAGTTTTTATCATTGTCGCGATCTTTGGTTGTAAACGAGGATCCAGCGTGATAACTCAACGAATCTCCAGCAGTTCCTGAAAAAATCTTTGCATTACTGTACTTAATCGATTAAACGCCATTCTCGAATAAACGCCGCACTCAATATGGGCGCTGTTTCGCAGATGGACCCAACCAGAGTTTAGTTTCGTCTGTCGCGCAGGCTAATCAGAAAATGCGGCGTTTATTCAGGGATAACGAAAACTGGTATTAAACAGCCTTGTAATCTATTCGTCAAAAGAGAATAAGCTCTTTCTCTCTTGACACCATTCCGTTCAGCACTCGTCAACAACAAGTCGACTACAGAAGAGCGGAAGATATCATTGATTGGGACCATGGGGGAGATGAAAACGGGAGACACTCCCTCCCCGCCTCAGTAGCCACAAAGCTCTCAGAAAGCACTATTTTCATTGGCCTTTGAAAACACATCTGTTATTGTTGATTCTCTCTTAAGCCTGGTTTTCGCTAGCACATAAGCACAAGCACAGGTGTAAGCAAGTGAAAACTGGGTCGACATAAGCATAAGCACAAGAAAAACGCCGGGCAAGTTCGTTCTTCTTGTGCTTGTGCTTATGCTTATGTCGTACTTTGACTAGTGAAAACTGGGTCGACATAAGCACAAGCATAAGCACAAGGCCGTGGACCAATCATAGATTGAGTCAAATATGACATTCTGCGCGTGCGTATGTCCTTAGGCTTTTGAGGGGGTTCATATGTCCCTGTCTGAATTTTTAAGAACATATTTCGAACAATCTTGAAAAGGTCTTGAATTTTACTAGTCATCTTGAAAAGTCTTTGAATTCTGTTTAGGTGCTCAAAAGGTGCTTGATTTCTTTGTTAGGTCTTCAACGGTCATTGAAATTCACAATCTTGTCTACGCCAGACACCTTTTTCTGTAAAATTAGATTATTTTGCCGAGGAAAATTTGGCTCATCCTCGGTCTAAGAACCTGTAAAACTCACGATTAAAGTAAAAACATTTTTACTCTAGGAGACTGCGGATGGCGCTTTAGGGAAATCCTTACGTCTCAGTTCCCACCCTCGTCTCCAGGGCATTTCCCTTTAAAATGGGATGTACGTCTCTCTCATTTTTCAAACTGAATGGAAAAGCCCTGAGGACGAGGTTGGATACCCAGATAAGCAACGGTAAAACGGACAAGAAAAACGAGCAGCTTGTTTCGAAACGTTTTTGCAAACTGAGTTGAAAAAAGCGATGTTGCGCGTTTTACCACCCATCTTCAAACCTATCTTGCAGCAAATTAGGTTGCGCAAATACTAATCTTTGATTGGATAAAATTACGAGCTGTTGACATCATACACGGGAATGGCGTCACTTGCTGGGTAGTAAAACGAGCAACACTGCTTCAGTTCCAATTTGTTTTGCAGCAATGTTGCAAAATAAGCTGCATGTTTGTGTTCCCCGTTTTACCATACTGACTCTTTTTTCCCTTTGGTGACGTTCACTATAATTTATCATCATCAACTCACCGTAATAACTTCCAAGGCTCATTTTGTACAAAGCTCTCTCACTTGCCACGCCAAAGGAATCATATTCAGCGTAAGCAGTATTTCCTTTCGTGTCTTCGAGCTCCACGCGAAGTCGGCTTTTTGTTGTTGTCAATCGATTCATCTTATCGAGTCCGAGCCAAAACTCGCCATTCAAGCTACCAAATCCGCGCTTGTAGTCATTCCATCCTCGCTGAAAATCAACTGAACCGTCTAATCTTTTCTGGATCACGGTCCAACCTCCACCAGCGGCTTTTTGATCACAGAAAACATCAAAGGCGCCTGAACCATCAGGGTCAATTGTGTACACTCCGCTGTTTCTTTGGCCAGATTTGTACAGCTCAGCACAGTTCTTCTTAACTATAATTACAATTTTAAGTAATTACATAATTTTTAAAAAGGTAAACCATAGAATCAGGGTATATGGCAGCGGGTTTTTTGCTTCAAGCCTGATATATCAGTGTAAAACGTCGCCATATCTTCCAAAAGAGAAACCTTAAAACCCTGAAGACAGGCTCGTGCTGACCGTGTTGGCTCACGGTTTGCGCAGTTTAATTAATTTGGAGAGCGATTGCACGATATCCTGACCAAAAGACCCGAGACTAAAAAAGTATGTTTAAACAGTGTAAAAATATGCATTGCCAGTTACGGTGTGTATTATGGCTACCTTGTTCCTATTTCACCTACCTGATTTGGAGTTATTTTCAGCCAACGAATCGACCTTCTGCTGTATGTCCGCCAGCTGGGTCCGTACGTTAAGAAGCTGAGCGAGGATCTCCTTGTCTGGCGCTGGGCAGTAGTTGTTGACGTGAACATTACCGCACCCTGTCGACGAACTTCCCGCGTTCGGTGGTTTGTTGGGCTGTGTTGGGACGTTTTGAGATGTCGCAACAGTGCACAATGCTGCTGGTGTTAGTAAGCTACAGAAAAATAATAATGCCCTAGCGAAATCCATTTGCGACTGTGGAATGGGTCAGTGAAGTGTTTGGATGCGTTTCGTGTAAGCACTCCACTTAAAGGTTGCAAATTGTAAGATGATGTAAATTTTCAAGTAGTTAAGGGGGGGGGGGGTTAGACCTCCAGACTCCCTTACCTTGCCATCCCGGCTCCCGCCCCTTTTTTCTTGGCTTCCTCTTTTTAGCTCTTTTTCGACTGCGATTATTAAGTACTATTGAGTTATTTCCAGCTATTTCTCCAACCTCACGCCCTTTTAGAAACCCTACCAGTATACCTCCAGCTCAGTTCCTCTCCTGCCTCCCGTACCCCTTCCGCTCCTTCCTATTCTCCCGGGTTCCCTTCCCCCCTGTCCTCCCAAACTAATTAATAGTTTAGGTTGTTTGCACACCTGGATATGAAGAAAGACAATTTTAAGAAGATTTTCTTGCTTAAGAAAACAACACGTTAAAGTAAGCATTTTAAGTGGTAGTAACCATTAACACACCTGGGAAAAGAGAGATTGAAAACATGTGATGCAAAGTTTTTGTGCAAGAAAACAACATGGTAAAACGGCGTTATGTTTAGGCTCGATTTCCGCCGTTCTCTCGGGTTTGCCCCGAGAAGAGGAGAAGGAGGGGAGCGTGGGCTCATTTCCCATTTCGAGCCTACATCAACAAGTGAAAGATAAGACCTCAGACGAGACAAACAAAGTAAAACAATTAAGGCTCCTTCGCTAAGGAATTAACGTAGACTACAAAACAGGCCGTATTTTGGCGTATTCAAGTACGCGCGAGCAGTCAAACAAAGAACGAGGCTGAAAACAGAGAGCAAGACTGGGGAGAGACGCTTTTTTCTCTCGCCTCGCACGCTTCGCGCGCATAAGACTCTTACGCCACGCTTTACGATTTCTTTACTGATTTTGAGAAAAAAATCGACTGTTTTGCAGTCTAGAATTAACGTGATAACCTCAGTATTGTGCACCCAGTGTCCATTTATACACCTGAGTGGTGAGAGACCCTGTATAAAAGCAAAGTTTCTTGTCTAAGGAAACAACGGATACCTCCCAGCATTCGGTTGTGTGTACACCCAAAATCAATCGCTATCTTAGCCACAAAAAAAATTACTTTTAGAACCTCGGAGCTTAAAATGGCTTCAACAGAGACTTAAAACTGAGTTACTTTTATTCTTGGCTATCCGTCATTGCAACTGATGATTTCAAACGAGGGCGAAATGTTGTTGTAAACGTCTGTTTACACTGCCACGAAAAGTGATACAGAAACCAATCCAGTATCTAACGATCTGCATTCAAGTCTTCAGTCCGTTACAGAAACCGTTACGAAATCACCGCTCTTATGTGCGAACAAATTCCCTATCAGTATCTGGTATGGTTTTCGTGCCGGCGACGTGCGGTATAGCATGACAAAGCATCCACTGAGCATCATGACATAGCCTTATGTAAATTCTCGTCCCCAGTGCCCGTCGTCAGGACCCCTGGCGTCGTTTCTTTTGGTCACGTGGTCCTTGTTACAACTTTACGTCGAATGAGGGATCCCAATAGGTTTTTCGGGATAGGTTCCCAATAGGATTGAGTTTTCAAGGGATCCAGGGAATTTACACTAGCCATTTTCAAATTTGAAAAAACGCGACAAAGATTCGAGATTCAGGAAGAACCCGTTTTCGCTGCCGTTGCCGTCGGGACCTTCATTCGAATGGCTCTGGAGCTATTGAAATGTATATTCGGGCTTATTGTTCTTTTATTAGCTTCTTGAACCAAGCGTGTATCTCGGCTGAAGCACGTCGGAAACTCATGGCCACCTGTCATGTCTTGGGGTGAACCAATTAAGACCGAATCCATCAGGAAATTGAGTAATTTTAATTTTCAGTGGACAAAAGGCATTGTGCCAGAATAATTTAACGCATAGTGCATTTTTTTTTACATTTTTCCAGGGCTAAATAGAAAATAAAGGTCAAATTTCACAAAATGACATCTTACACACGAAATTTTCAGAACTTTACCTGTGTTTTCACAGTTCTTGTAAAATCTGACATTTATTTTCGCGGACTCCCATAAGAAATTTTTTTGGATGTTATTGCAGATAACTAATTAAATCTATAGCCGTTGAAAAATGTAAAAGAGAACGCAATATTCTTTAAATTACTCTGGTACAAGGTTTTTTCCGCTGAAAATTAAAATTACTCAATTTCCTGGTGGATTCAGTCTTGAATTTTGAGGCTTTTAAGGCTTCTAGTTGCTTGGGGAAAGGGTAAACGCCATCCTGGTACAGACAACAATCTGACAACCCGCCGGGAATTATACAAGTATTTATTGTAGCCTGTGTCGCAGACACACAATTCGTTAAAGACGATGCTTGGGCCGGGGGCAACGCAGGCTACCAAAACAACCTCAAATGTTTTTGAGACAGTTGTTTTAGACAATTCAATCCGTAAATATACCTTGGCTTAACATTAAACACACAGAATTTCAAGGCCGTAAGTTGATGGAGCCACGTTCATTCGCACCAATTTCACTTCATTTTCCTGCATTGCATTTACTACACCTGCTCTGCGAAGCTGAACGGTTCTTCACTTACCATCAGCAGGCGTCATAAGATTCTTAATTACAGTTATTTCTGCCTGTGAGATGTCATAATAACCAACAAACGTTCGTTTTCTACTGCTGCATCATCTCTTCCAGTAGTCAGAGGTTTCACTGCCTAACTCTGATTTGCCTATGTTGCTCAGAGCTTACTATGGCATGTCCCTTGATACTGTACTTTTTTGTCACTCTAACCGTATTGCCTGTTTGCAATCCGCTTACAAGCTATCACGTGGATTTGAATATTTTCGTTAAAAATAACGATACGGAGATGAGATATATAGTACAACAAGCTACAGGACTTTTTCACCTCGAAAACGGAAATATTTCACTGAAAAACGGCGAAGGCAAAATTCAAGTAAATCTCAGAACGGTATCATATAACGAAGCGATCAGCAGCATTTTTACCCTGGATCAAGATCTCGTCTTCAACATAACGGTATCTTTGCGTTCGGCTATCTTTGTTCAAATTTCAAATCACGAGATTTTTTTGTCATCGTTAATGGAAGGATCTAATATTGTTACTGTGGGACTGTTTCAAACGAAAGCAAATCCGTTTAGTCAGGTAAGGTCACTTGCTAAAACGCTTTTCTTTCGAGGTCGTTGAAAACTTCGTTGTTCAGACACACGTACAATATTACATAAATGGATTATATACATTTCATTGTTAGCGTTACAAAACAGGAACAAAGGAAGGTTAAGTATGCCACTTTTGTTCAAGTTCTTTTTGCATTGCTGTGGTTATGTTTAATTGATTTTTTTCTTCAAATTTTTAGCTGTTTGTAATCTGATGAATGTTTTCTACTATAACTGATTTGGCATCTCCTCAGTTTTGTGCTTGCAACTAAAAATGTATTATCTAAACAAAAGCAGACTCGCTTTTTCCACCTTGTGAGACATAAAAATTTAAGTTTTTAACAAAAAAATATGAGCCAGTTGTATCGTATCATCTGAATTCCAAAAGAAGTATTGCAAATTGTCATCCGAAAAATCATTTACTTCAGGAAAATTCCAGAACAGGTGGATAATTGAGCTATTGGCATCTTTTCAGGGTCTCACTGAACAACAAGTAAATACTAGGTTTCCTCTGGTCATGTCGCAGCTAAGTATGTAAATACCATTTTTGGCTTTCGGCTTCTTTATATAACTAGCATTGTTTTTGAAAACGCCCTCAGCAAAAATAGCAGCCATTTAACTGAAAACATACCAAAAGGGTACGTTTCTTACATATGATAAGCCTAAAATCACCCTAAGAAATGAAATGGAAAGAAAAAATGGGGAGAGGGAGAAAGCCAAGGTTGATAACACGCTCCGCGATGAGCATAATTATGAATTCAGGATATACTAAAGCCAAATCCGATAACTGCTATTATTATTAAACCTATTTATTTTGAAATTATACATCAGGAACGTCCTGTTAGCTTTACAAGAATAGCTTCTCCGTCAATAATTGACTACGCATGTACTATAAAAGACGTCTTGAAGAAAATGGGCTGGCGCATACTCTGCTTGGTATTGTCCGCTGATTACGAAGGAACTGTGTTCGCGGGCGAAATGATCAAGTATAAAAAGAAAGAAAAATGGAATATTCTGCACATAGTTTGGGTACCTAGGTGCTGGGAAAATGGCACCGAACTCACATCCATGTTAAAAGACGTCCTTTCAAATGAAAGTGACGTAGTGATTGTCCACATGCGGGATTCCCGCAATGATGAGATATTCCAGTTGCTTGAAATGCTGGGCGTCAAAAATTCTCGATCCTCTTGGCTGCTAACGGACATTACTACCTTTGGGGTATCGATAGTGAATCTTCCTGCTGGATCTGTGAAAATATCTCCGTGGACTACTCTTAACCGTGATTATATGGTGCATGCGCTATACGACGCTGTTAACCTGATTGCACTGTCGGCAGCGGGTGCAATAGAGACGTCTGGTAGCAACGAGATAATTAATCACCAAACGATAAATAATGACTCTAAGGCCCTGCAGCGTTCGTTCAAGCAGTAAGTTTTATAAGGTGTTCAGTTTTCTTTTCTGCTTGTAGAGTTTCCTTCATACGTATCGGTTTTCGGTATTTGCTCCAGGGATTCCACACTTAACAGTCGAGAGGGACACTGGGCCGAGTTAACGTTCGTAAAGACTTCTGGGATTGTTACTAGGGATAGGGGAAAAACTGGCCAATAGCTGACCGGTAAATTCCCAATCACGATACCAAAAACAATTGCGGGACGCATCTCGGCTCCAGCTCCCTTCTCCCCAATTCTAAAGCGGCCAATTGGCTTTCTGAGTTTCACCGATTTTTTTCCCCAACTTCAGGGCTTCAGGGTTCAGCATAAAAAACCGTAGGCTCCGTGTGTGCTGCCTTGGAAAGGATGCTTGCATCATGGTCATGTGACGTTTTCAAGGGGATTTGCCCATACGGAGTTTGGCAAGCTATAAATCTATTACAAGACTTAGCGGAATGAAAATGACCATTGCAACTCCACACTTCATTTTACAATCAACTGGAAAATGCTACTGTTCCCACCAACCCCCCGCCCCAAAAAAGTAGTTATCTCAGAATTAGAGTAGCTAAATATTGTTACTTCAATTCCTCTAGGATGACAAGAAACACCTTTTTCCAGGGAAAAACCTCCATTTTCGAGAATCTAACTATGCGAAAGGGGCATTTCGCCACAATGGACATTTCACATCTAGAGCAAGATCTCAATGGTGTAAAACACTGGACCGCTATTGGCCTTAGTACATATTCAGAAATCGCTATAGCGCCCTTCAAGGCTCCAAATGGACAAATCCAGTTTCCACTCCTGGAACCTTATAGGCCCATTCTGCGAGTTCCTGTAGTTTTTAATCCTCCTTGGGTAATGGCCGCCGAGCGTATAGAAACATATGACAAGGAACTAAAGTGTACGGAAAGGGAACACATCTGTTACAACAAAACCGCATCAAGCAACAAAACCTTGTGCTGCTTCGGATTCTCTATAGAGTTATTAAAAATACTTCAGCGCGAACTGCAATTTGTTCCGGAAATTTACTTCGTTGCTGATGGATTCTATGGTATCTTTGACGAAAAGACAGGAAACTGGAACGGAATTGTCCGGGAATTGGTTCTAGGTATAGGGGATCTGGCCCTCGGTTTGTCTTTGAGCGGAAAACGAGCCGAATACATCGAATTTTCTTGGTCTTACTTACCCCTTGCTCTGAACGTAATTGTGGAGAAAAGGGATATTGGACCAGGTGAGATGAAGAAGACTTCGTTTTGTTTTCCTTGTTTACTGACACTTGAATAAACGTTTTAGAGAACCTACCGGAAATAGCCCACGAGCAAGCTCTCCGGGGCGCTCTGATCTCTGGGTGGGGCGGTAAAAGAAAGGAGAGTTTGCAACTACGTCTCTGGAATTTGAATTCCACCTCCATTTCCCCTTTGGCTTTCCGTCGACTGAGCTGTCAAATTTCCGCCAATCGGCGCGAAGCGGAAACTAGCGCGAATGTAAACAAACACTGAAAAACATGTGCCAAAGGTAATGACGTCATTAGTAATGCCATCTCCTCCAATCAGCATTTTGCATCGACTTTTTCGATGCAGATGTTCAAATTCCAGAGAGGTAGTTGCAAGTTCTCCTTCCTTTTCGCGCCCCGCTGCCAGAGCGCCCCGGAGAGCTTGCTCACAGGCTAACCAGAAATTGAGGATATAACTGCGATGAAACCATTGATCTCTTTAATATGAAGGTCTTTGAGTTGTATGGCTCCCAACATGTCGCCCCATGTAAGACCATGTAATCCAAGACTGTCTTGGATTCTAGATTCTCCACTGTGGATTCCGAATTCCTTGTCAGTGGAACTTGAATCCAGATTCCAATCGTTTGCGGGATTCCAGATTTCTTTAGCTGAATTCCGATTCCAAAGGCTACGATTCCGAATTCCACAAGCAAAACCTTCCGGCATTTCAGATTTCACAGCAAGATTTGCCTGCATTCCGGAATCTGGACACGGTAGTGGGTAGGAGATTAACTTAATACTCAACTGGTGACTCAAACGCTCGTTTCTTTAATGGCAGCTGAATTCAACTTTAAAGGTACTTATAGCAAAACGAACACAAGGCAAGTCACCTGATCTATATGACATCACAACATGTCACAGCAAAAAAAAAAAAACAGCATGGGCTGATTTATTTGAGGCCAATATTTTGGCTAAGAAAATCAGTTTTGTTTTAATCCCCCCTTCAAGTGACGTCTGGCATTAGTATCTCTACATAAGAGATCCGGCAAGAAAGAACCAACATTAACCACAAAGGACTGCAAAGGACCGCAAACGAATATGCCGAAGAACGTAGGATCTATAAAGACCTGGCCTCGGTTGTTCAAACGTTGGATAGCGCTATCCACCGGATAAATCACTATCCAGCGGATAAGTATTACGGAAATCAATTACGCTATCCACTGGATAGTTATTTATCCGGTGGATAGCGCTATCCGACGTTTGAACAACCGGGGCCTGATCAGCAAAAATGAAAAGTAGACATATTAAATCCTGCAAGAAGAATACTGCAATGCTGATCGTACTACGTGAAAAATATCACGTAGTACGATCAGCATTGTAGTATTCTGCTTGCAGAATTTAATATGTCTAAAAAAGAACCAGTCGGTTTTATATAAAACCGACTGGTTTTATAACTTGATGTAAAGCGCATTTGATCATGCTCCATAGAAAATTGCGCTATATAAGTTCTAATTAGTTGTAATTGTGATTGCATAGGGGGGGCCTCTCCCGTTTTCTATTAAAAACAAAAGCTCAGCGAACGAGGATGACCCAAATTACGGCTTCCTCAACGAACATCGCCTAACTTATGTCAACTATTAATAACTGATTATGTTCGATACATTTAATTCAAGGTGTTCATTGGTTTTCGTGGTTGAAGCCCTTCGATTTCTGGCTATGGCTAACTATTGGGGGCACCAATATGGTCATATTGCTTGTTATTTGGTGGCTTGATAGAAGGAGTCCACGCGGACATTATCATTTTTTCAAGGAGAGTGACGAAGATGGTTTGACCTTGTTGGGTAGGTTCCCATCAGTTAATCCTTCATTAATTCAAAATACGATTTGCTGCTTACAAACCTAAACGCTTAAAACTGAAAGCTAATGAGGTTGCATGGCCATTCCACATTGAACGAAAACGATCAAAGTGGAAGTCAGAAGGTTAAGTTTCAGATGGTTTACCTCCAAGCAAGCATCATGGCACTTGTTCCTGCATTCTGTATGATTGTTTGTAATATATTTCTCTTGTGTGCTAGATTCCATGAGCTATGTATGGGGGGTGGCCTTTGGCAAAGAGATAGGGGCGGCGAAAACGCCTCGCAGCTTAAGTGCGAGATTGGTATCATCCGTGTTTGCATTCCTGGCACTGATTCTTATCAACTCTTATTCGGCGAACTTGATGGCTTTCTTGGTACAGGAAAACTTTTTGCTGCCTATTAAAGGTATAAAAGACCCAAAGGTATGCAGTTGGTTTAGTTACCATCTTGGTTTTGTTAGTCACCAGGCGCTTTTAAAAACATATTTAGTAGCCTTTTCCAGGCGGTCAGTTAGTGGGGGCAACGCGAAGAGAATTTGAGCAGGAAAAAAACATTGAATGGGGGGCGGAGAGTAGGGATAGAAGGAACGTAAGTCCCCTCTCGCCCCCTCTCCTCTTCCCTTGTTTTCTCCGCTTCCCATTTCGTTCCACCCTCCACTATCTCAACACCTGGAACAGGCTACGTTTTTAGGTTAACTGGCTTTCTAAGTAATTTTGTCCCAAGGCGTTCCTCCCAGATTCAAAGGGAAAAGTCCCCGGCCGAGACGGTTGCTCTGCACTAGATGAACTTCTCAAACTCTGACATTCATGGTTTTAACTGAAAATTAATTGCTTCTGTAATTGAGGTTGTAAATCGGATCCTTATTCCCTTTTGAACTTATCCTCCTCGCTCACGTGGTCCGTGACCTGAAACGAATTGGCTGCGCAAAATAATGAGACCTAGGGACTAGACAAAGGCTGCCTCGTTTCCTAATTTGGTAGTGTCTGGATGTTGTCTGAATGTCTTCTTCTTGTAAAGGTATAGTTAATACCTCCAACGCTTTGGGCTGGCTGAAATCAGAGATTAGTTAAGGTAAAATTGACTGTCAGAAACAATGTAGCCTGAACTCAGACATCAAGCCAAAATACGGTAGGAAGGCTGAAATTTGGCCCTTAAATGTTACATTATTTTTTGGCAGTAGTCCGGCTTTTTCTTCTTCGCATATATCCTGAAATCTTCTGTCATTTTCTCCAGCTCTACCAAAACACCTGAGCTACCGTAACTTCTGCTGTCCTTGTTTCTTTTGATATCTCTACAAATGACGTCAATTGTACTGATATAAGTAGTATAGGGAGCACCGGTTACTCCGTGTTTTTGCGGGGGAATCTCGTTGACTTATGGGGCAATATATTGACGCTGATGACGTCATAGCCTTTTGTCTTTAACCTTGACCCGTTAAACCTGCTTATCATGTTGTAGTTTTATTTAACCGGGACGACAGATTTTCTAGTGATTTTTAGGTCGATGGATGTCTTGGCTTTAATAATGTCATGACGTCATCAGCGTTAACGTCTTCCTTTACAAGTTAATAAGATTCCCGCGCAGAAAACGGAGTAACCGGTGCGCCCTATACTACTGATATTGGCAAACGCCTTTCAAATTTGGTCAAAGGTTGCCAGTCGAGAAGAACTAACTGGAAGATATATAATGTTGTACGTTAATTGCCTTTCAGCTAAGGGACCCATCTCTTCATCCGCCAAATGGATTCCAAATTGGTATCCTGCAAGGTTCCTTTACTGAAATGTATTTTAGGATTAACATTCACCATGAATTTCGCCAACTTTATAACAACAGCCTAAAAGTGAAAACATTTGATGAAGGGATAAACAAACTTAACAAAGGGTAAGTTAGTCTCATTACAATATCAAGCATTCAGCTAATTTGGTACCCATATCCCCAAGGTAAAGTGAGTGTTATGAGGAAATTAAGGACCAAATACTTGCATAGTACAGTAAAAGGATTCGGGTCTGATCAACTGAGACAACACAATAGGGAGCTTAAGCAACGAGGACGGCGACGGCTACGAAAACGTTACTTAAAAAGTGAATTCGCGCTGCCTCAAGCTTTATCGCGCTTATACCATCTGGTTTAACTCGTCAAACGTAGTCAAATTTTGGAATTGAATTCTAAAGGACTGTATCCAAGTTCAAGAAATGAAAAAAATAGAAAAAAAGGCTGCCGTCGTTGTTTACGCTCCCTAATAACTGACAGGCGCGTCTCCAGTTACGATTCCATAAACAATTGCGGGACGCATTTCGGTTCCATTGTTTCTACAGTGGTGGATTTCTACTCACGCTTCGCTCTGCAAACTAGGAAAAAAAACCTTTACGTGGGCTTTTATTAGGGGCTAACTGGTTAAGGGAGAGCAAGAGAATGTCTCTGTCCCCCCTATTTCCCTTCTTCCCCCCCAAGAAACGTTTGACACTCCGACTAGCTAGCTAGAAACTAATAGTAAGCCGAGTTGATTTCCATTTGGCAGTGAAATTCAAGGATTGGCCGGGGATTACTTGTCTTTGCATGAAGTCGCCCACACCATTCCAGGATGCAGGTACAGCCCAGCTGGTCGTAACTTTTACACTCATGGCGTGGCATTTTCCGTCCCAAAAGGTTCTCCCTGGCTTGAGGACATCAACCGAGTTGTCACTCGGATGAAAACTAACGGAAGTTTTCAGACGATTGAAAAAGTGTATTTCGATAAGAAAAAATGCTCTAGTCCTGCTGCCAAAGAACTGAGTATACTCAACTTATCTGGACTTTCCCTGACGGTAGCTGTAGCTGTAGCGGTTTGCTTTTCAGCACTGTTTGTAGAAGTGATCATCATTTTCATTTTGGCACGAAATGGTCAGTACCTAGGGCATGTTGGAAAAGTATGCGTGCGTTTTTTATTTAACCTGAGAAAAGGCGAAGAACACCTGATAACTTTGAGTAATTCTACAATAATGCAAAAACGGAGCTGTGTCAGGATAGAGTGCATAGAAACTGTGAATGAATATCAACACAATTCGATTAATGCACCAATTGACTTGGAACAGCTACGGACGAGGATGCCGGGCAGACAGAGGGATAGTGTTTCTAGCGATGAAAGAACCTCGAATGCTCACTTCAAAGCTTTGAATCTAACAAGCGGTTTCCATAATGCGAGTTTGACTTCAGAAGACGCATCGTTTTAACTCTATCAGTTAGATAGCCTGTTTTCTTAGCCGCTACATGTCGCGCGAGCTTTCGATTCATTTCGAATAGTTATGACCGATTAACTGATTCATTACGAACTGGCGTTTGAGAAAAACAAGGTAATGAAAAAGTCACTCACAAAAAATTGAATTGCTGAAAAGCGAGTGATTTTTTAATTTGGACCACCTGCAAGTCAATATAATTTTGTTTGTCGTTTGTCCACTTAAGTCCTTTTTGCAATGTGTAAACATCTATTAGGACGTTTCACGTCATCATGCCCCTTTATTCGCCCCGTGTAACGAAATCCAAGAGAGGTTTGGATTCCAAATTCCACGCTGTGAATTCCGGGTTCCACGCAGTGGATTCTGGATTTTATGTACTGGATTCAGGATTCCTTGTCCGTGGAACTTGGATTCCTGATTCCAATGGTTAGCGGTATTCAAGACGCTTTGAGCTTGATTCCCGATCCCAAAGCTCAGGATTCCAGGTTACACAAGGATTCCGGGATCAGGATTGTCTCACACGGGGCGAGCGTAATACTCTCCCGCTTTTTCTACATTATGGTCAGTTGACATGTAACGTGTCACATGTCACGTGTTCAATACAAAGAATGCCAAAGTATGTTTTGCAGTATTTTAAACTACACATCTGGCAATGGCAGATTGTCTCCGCTCTCCGCATTAACTCCTGCTTTCAGAACGTAGTCTGAGTTTAAGAGGTGCATGCTGGCTAATTAAAAGCTTTTCATAGTTATTCAAAGATAATTATAAAAGATTTTAACTTTTCAATTTTATCACAGTACTGCCTTAATGAGCGTTAAAACTGCAAACACATCTTCAGTAAGCTTTAGAAATCCACTGGTCTGATCTTCATCTCAGCTCTTTTAGCCGAGTATTTTGCACCCTTCCACGCGCGCCAGTTAATACCATCATGGTTAGATGAGTGCTGTCCGTGATAGTAGAAGCCATTAAGACTGGCGGTCACACAGCTGTTAAACCACCATCCTTCTTTATAGTTCACAGCACAGTTGCTTGAGCTTTGATCATTATCGCGATCTTTAGTTGAAAACGCAGATCCAGCGTGATAACCCAAAGAATCTCCTGCAGTCCCTAGAAAAGAAAGAAAGAAAAATGTATGCATGCAGTTGCCCCAAAAAGGATGTTACCCCCGCCCTGAACACCCTGCAATATTGTTGCACATATTGGAATATTGATCATAAGTGCAGATTTCCTAACTGAGTAAGGCGAAGTGCTACCCTAGGTGACAGAGGTTTTTTCTCGAGTGCGATGTTTGCGGCGAGATGTTGTGGGGTCGGCAGCGTGTCACTATAAAGACTTGACCGAAACGATAGCGTGCGAAAACATCCGTTTCTCCTCGCTCTTCGCCGCAGGGGACGTTTCGCGCGGAGGAACGTCTGCGACTCAGCGACTCCATAATGATGACGTAAAATCTGTCCGGAATGCGGTCAGAAGCGCTGATTGGTCGACAGAGTAGTTACATTGTTTAAGCTATTGTTTACAAATGACAGACAAAAGACAAAAGGCCACAAAGGTCAAATGTAAACGCGAAGAATCTCTAACAAAACAGTCAATATTTGTGGAATATAGTCTTCTCTAGGAGTAGCATTTGAGTTTTGCTGGAGCTCGTTGGCAGATAAGCAAAACACTTTACCAAAATCGACCAGAAGAAACGTAAAATTAAACAAATTTATATTTGGAACCCCTTGACTACCGTATTTAATATGTAAACATTGATTTGGGTCATCAGTATGGAATTTCTGTCGCTGAGTCGCAGACGTCTCTCCGCGCGAAACGTCCCTAGCGGCGAAGAGCGGGGAGAAACGGATATTTTCGCAGGCTACCGAAAAGAAAACCCGCGCAAGAAAAGCTGCTGCACCCAGATTAACGGAGTGCCGTATCGCTATCAGTTTCTTTTGATCAGGGTTAACATTTCCAAAATCAGTGAAAAAATTGAATGGAATGGCTTTGCAAATTACGGAACAATGGTTCGTCCACGCCTGATTCTTCTTAGCATAATATGATCTAAGGCTCACTGTCCAAAGGTTGCCGCCCCCCCCTACATTTTTGGTATAGGACAGTGCTTGTGCATTTTTTTAAAATTTTCTAACGCACTGCTCATGATAAGGGCTTTTAGGATGTCTTTTATTTGCCGAAGTTCAGTTGTTTTTATCATTATCACTCACCGTAATAATTTCCAAGGCTCATTTTGTACAAAGCTCTCTCACTTGCCACGGCAAAGAAATCATATTCAGCGTAAGCAGTATTTCCTTTTGTGTCTTCAAGCTCCACTCGAAGTCGGCTTTTTGTTTTTGTCAAGCGATTCATCTTATCGAGTCCGAGCCAAAACTCACCATTCAAGCTACCAAATCCGCGCTTGTAGTCATTCCATCCTCGCTGAAAATCAACTGAACCGTCCAATCTTTTTTGGATCACGGTCCAACCTCCACCAGCGGCTTTTTGATCACAGAAAACATCAAAGGCGCCTGAACCATCAGGGTCAATTGCGTGAACTCCGCTGGTTCTTTGGCCAGATTTGTACAGTTCAGCGCAGTTCTTCTTTACTGTAATAAAGAATCGCAAAACAATCACTTCTCCATTAAAACGGTTATGAACCAAGAAGACCCAGAGGAGCAGCCAACTGGTCAACCTCGTTCCCAGGGTCCTTTCCTACTCGTCACCGAGGGACGAGTAGGAATGGAACCTGGGAACGAGGTTGCCAACTGGCAACGACGCAACGACCGCATGTTTCCAAATACGTCAGGAGCGTCAGGAGTGTCTCACATGGTTGCCCTGAGTTCCCCTAAAAACTATTTGCTTTAACAATGATATAGTGGACGTTTAGTCGACTCGAAAGCTTTAGGTGACTTTTTCGTCACATTCAAAAGTTCCCACCTTAAAAACTGTTGGTCCGTTTGAAAGTTCGAGGACTTGAGTAGCTGTAAATTTATTAGAAAAGTTACCCCCAAATTTTTCAGCCTTTCTCGAACTTTAGAAATTTCTAGGCAATACTTGCTTCTTCGAACTCTTATTTTAGAGAAAGAAAAAGTCGTTGGATGCCCCTGATGATCATCACAGCGATACAACAAAGCACGTGATTGACTCCAGGCTCTAGCTTGGGCAGGTTATGGAAAGAAGAGAGGCTCTGGGAACGATGATGAGTTTTTGAGGACTAGGAGGTTGGTGCACGTTTTTGCGCAGGACTTCTCAGCTTGAGATTCCTATCGCTTTGCAGTCTAAGTGAAGTTCACAAGGTCTCATCAGTCAATCTGCCTTTTTAAGGTAATCCGGATTCCGGAACTAGTCACTCGAGAAGTAAATAGAAAACTCGGTATAGTCCATATCGGGTATTTAGATTGTCTGCGACACAGGCTAAGAAATTTTTGCTTGCAAAACTCCAGAATCCTGAGCTTTTGAATCCAGAATTCAGTGCTAGGAATCCGGGATCCCGCTAACGATTGGAATCCAGAATCCGAGTTTTACTGAAAAGGAATCCGGAATCCAGAACCTGGAATCCGGAATCCACAACGTGGAGTCCAGAGTTCAAGACTGTCTTGGATTACCTTACGTGGGGCGAAGTCAAAGTTTAGTGAAAAAAGCTTTTGGATCATTTTACGTTTCTGTGAAACTGCCCACCTACCACTCCCCTAAGCCAACATTTTGCCCTTAGTAATTAAGAACTAAGTGTTAATGTTGGTTTAGGGGAGGGGTAGTTGGGCATTGAGGGAGCCCCATGCCCTGAACCTGTGAAATCAGGGATGCTCAGCGTATGCCCTCAACAATTAATAAATTAAGAATATGATACCATGTTTTCGTCAAACAACCAGGACTTCGTATGACAGGAACTGCTGCCAGCCGGAAGCAAGAATAGGTAATGTACCTCGGCCAGGAAATTCTATGGACACAAACCTTATTAAGCGGAAAAATAGTGTGATAAGAGATTTTTAGACCGTGTAATAAATCTGATCCCCGATTCGGGCTCAAAAGCCTTGTGATCCCTGATCCCATTCTTCTGAGCCCTGAGCCCTTTGCTCTGAGCCCTGATCCCAGTCATATTTTGGGCTTTGAGCCCTGAGCCCATATACCATGTTACGACCCTGCAATCTAGTTGATGCCTTCGTCGTCTGTTTCGTTAACTCCCTAGTCTTGACTATTTTCCCATGATATCCCTTCATCCATGTACAAGTGAAAGCTTTTCACTTTTGCCCCCCAGTTTTAAGTAAAACGTGTTGCTTCACACCTGACGGACCGGACGCTTTACAAAACTTTGCGTGCATGTGCAATGCTAGTTTTTTATTTGTGAGTTGCACGTGCGCATGAAATCAGATTTGTTTTTGATTGGTCAACAACATGACGAAAATTATCTAATTAGGAATAGTTCGCAGCTTTGCCTACACTAAGCGTCAAAACCAGGGACACATGGTACGTTTGCAGGGAAAACGTTCGAAGGAGACGAAAAGACATGAAGAGACTTAAGGTAAGTCGGGGAAGGTAATGCCGTATCAATACATTTTAATACCTATCTTTTGCGATCTTTGAGTCTTCTTGTAATGACAACCCTTTTGAAAATCTTGAGTACAGTTCTTGGTGGATTACAGCAGTTACACAAACAAGTTCATGAAAGTTTCCTCCAATAAAAGACTGATAAAACTGTTAAGTTTTTCATTTTCAAGCAAACATAGCCTGCGAAAACATCCGTTTTTTCCTCGCTCTTCGCCGCTGGGGACGATTCGCGCGAAACGTCCCCAGCGGCGAAGAGCGAGGAGAAACGGATGTTTTCGCAGGCTAAAGCAAACAGTGTAAAAGTTAAACGTTTAATGGAGCCGCAAAGTTTCAGTGATTGGTGCGTTTCTCCTGGTCAATCAAGTTTTCCTGTTTACGACCTTTTTTAAGCTGCTCGGTTGCGTTTTCAGTTGAGACGTTGTGTACATGGAAAAGACTACCTAAAAGCCGTATGTCAATGAGAAGTTGTCATCATATGTCAGCGATTTCTTAATGTGAGATTTGGTGAAAGTTCTCACTTGGCTAAACCCTGCAGTTTTTTTTTCGCCCGGCGTTTTTTCATTAGGGTTTCGTAAAGGTCCGTAAAGTAAGAGATCAACGAGAAAACGATAGGGAAGTACTGATGTTTTCTCACTGTATAATCGTGTCTGGAAGAGAATTTCGCAGCGCTTAGGCACAACTATTCTGCAGCAGAATTACTTACTGGCCCTTAACAAGTAGGTTCTGATTTGCTGATTGTTAAGTCCACCAGTTGGGAGACGGTTTATGAATAATAATAATAACAATAATAATAACTTTATTTATATAGCGCTCATATCCTGAGCTCATGGCGCTTTACAATGTAAAAAAGGGGAAAATGAAATAATTTACATATCACAAGCACGAAACAAAAAAAAAAGACTGAACATGAAATTAAGTCAAGTTCACAAAAATTATATCTACATGCTGTTCAATTACAGCAAATTTACAAATAATTTACAAAATTGGAGTTTTTTGTTGGGAAATAGAAATTATTTTCACTCCGATAAATCCCAGGATTTAAGAAATTGCAGCTTCTAAGAACCACGGGAAAAAAAAACAGATTCCCATTATTGGATATTCCCAACCAGGGAACTTGGTTGGGAATTCCCTGGTTGGGACTTGTCTCACTTTGCCAAATTTGGGATTTTTACAGGTATTCTTTAAATACCCCAAAATGTCCAATAATGGGAATCTGTTATTTTTTCCTGTGAACTAGAATGTCACTGTTTCCAGGGTTATGGTGCATATCATTACTGATGACAAATTGTTGCAAAAAAAAACAAACAAACTACAACAGCAGACCCTAACAGAACACAAAATAGTTTCTGTCTTTGCTTTGTTAGGTCACATGATAACACATTTATCTTTCCCAGTTTTAATGTCTTTGAATGAGGCATGTTGAAGAAAATTGTGTCTTTTGAAAATTCCCATTGAACAACATGAAGTAATTTGTAAGTAAGATTCATTTTTCAACCCTCTCGGTGACAGTTCTTCAAATGGTATTTGAGTTTTCGCTTTCCATTCATTTTTCTCAAAGTCATAGCAATCAATTTTGTCTTTTCAATTCCATGCACAAATTAGTGGGATTAAACAATACAGTTTGTTATCAACACCCAGCAAAGTTGGATTGTAATGATCAAATGGTGTCTTCCTCAGCCTTGCTACAAAATGCCATTCCTTTGTATCTTCATCATACATTTCACAACTCTCAGCTAGTAAATCACCTTTTACTCCACCAACCACAAAAATTTTGTGGTGTGTTGCAGTAGCGCGAGCATACCATCTTGGAAGCTGAAGGTTTGCTAAATTCTCCCATGTATCGTTGATGAGATCATATCTGTCAGCACTTGCAAGGATCTCATGTCGATCTGGGCTGCAATAACCACCACCAATGAAATAAACAAAATTGTCCTTGGCTACAACGCAAACCCCCGATCTTGAATTACAGTCCAAATCAAATGATGTTATGTCTTCCCAGGAACTGGTTTCTGGTTTGTACTTTCTCAAGAAAGAAAGATGTGGGGTCTTACTACAGGGTCCAGGAATTTTACGGAGGTACAGGGATGTACAGTCAGGGCAACATAGTATATCTTCAGCCACCAGGGCATAAATTGCCTCATCATTCATAGCAAATATTTTCTTCACTGTCCTGTGATCCTCATATGGAAATGAAGACCAACAATTTGATAATGGATCATAGCACAACAGTCTTCTCTCCCTGACTCCAACGTCCTCATGAGGAAATAAATGAAAATAAAGTTTTCCATGACAGGGTACAATTTCTCCAATATTGGGTGGAACTGTGCCATTAAACTTAGACCATTTGTCTTCAAGCGGATAGTAACAACATAGCATGTTGTCTTCCTGTTTACTGAAACCTTGTACACATATCACCATGACAGGCATCTCTAGTGACTTTCTAGGACGAATACTGCGCTGCTGAAAGTCTTTTGATTCAATGACCTTCAAAGCATCCTTAACAAGCCCCACGCTGTGTTCATCACTAATCACAAACTCAGTTGTCATGACGTCGCTGTATAAAAACTCACGTGATACATACACAAGTCGAACTTCACTGAATAACTCGGGGAAATATTTCTTCCGCACCAGTTTATCACGATTCACCCATCTAAGAATGACCTTGAATACATCTTCTTCGGCAGTTACAGAAATGTTGTCATTTGAAATCCACATTTTGATTTCTTCGCACGACAAGCTCAAGAACTCCTCCGTTTGCGCTACGTGCATGAAATTGGCATGAATGAAGTTTCTGGTCTCGAAAATGAGCTCGTCACATTGATATTTCACGCCAAACTGGTAAAATGAAACAGAATTTGATATCTTTAAGTCCTTCACTAAATGTTTTCCAGCAACAGTCTTCAGACGTGGTAAAACCAAGTAGTCTGACATTATGATCAAGTCTTGAGCACCATTTTCTTCTGCAGCCGAAATCTGAACATGGCCTGTGTAGATAAATTCCAATATATCCCCCAAACATTGCTCGTTTGTCATTTCTAAGTGGATAACTCCTTCGATAGACTCTTTCATGTCACTTTTAAGCAGCCTTTCAAAGAAAGGACTCGCCTCTGAAAGAACCCGTCTATGCGCTTTGAATTCCTTCCCATCTTGGATCGCCAGAGTAACGT